TACTAATAGCCAATCAATGTTAAACTCGACTACTTTTTAAAAATGTTGAAGTGTAGCATGCGATTGTCCAAAGTTGTCCAAAGCCTGCTGCCATTGTCCAACCGAATTCCGAATTGGACATTGGACAAAATCGGAATTCCGAAGATTCAAGTTCCGATTGACACCACTAATCTATACCCGTCATCCGCGGATTACGAGCGAAAATATTTTTTACGGCAATGATGTATCAGCATGGATGCTCATACGTTCCCATATGTGACCTTACGGTTGACTTCACATACAATAAAAATTGCTTGGCAAAATGTCAACTGGTTAACGAGTTATCGCATTTTGGCCACTTCCGAACTCAAATAGCGGCTGTGTGCGCCTCTGGTGACCTGACCTGAGGTCAGATCAACTCAAAATTTTCAGAAATGTTGCGTAAAACCCTTTTAGGAAAAGTCAGAAAATTTGAGCTTCCTAGCTCAAAGCGTTTGGGAGAAATAACCAAAAAACGTCAGGGGGCTCCTGAGGCCCCCCCCCCCGCCAGGAATAGGGTTAAACGGTTTTGATTTTGTGCCAATTTTCCTCGATCGCTGCATGCTGTATCAGTTGGCCGGTTACCCTACCACATCAAGTACTTGGATAGGCTCACCTAACAGTACGTTCATGTGTTAAGTAACATTCAATGGTGTTTTTTGGTCAACCAAGGTAAACATATGTTGATTGTCGACTGAGTCAGTGACTGATGAAGCACATTTTAAGCACATATTCATCAGAATAACTAGTTTGGTCACCAGCTTAAGGGTGATTATGTCACACTACGAACATGTAAATATTGCTTGCTGCTTGAAGTACCTACCATGAACCCACTGCACGTTTATGACCACGACCGATTCACCGGTGATGCTTATGTCGAACGTTCGATGCACTTCAGGTAGATGGCGGTAAGTCTTCTCGGGTGCATCGCATCACCGTTATCATCAGCTATTTGGCATATCCGTTGAGGTTTGACCAGGTGGGCATCATCGGGATTCTGAGACAATGGGTTACGCAATCGGCAGTACCGTTAACAATATATAATATTTTCATGAAAAATGTGCTTAGCCTATAAGCAAAAAGGTAGTAACGATGGATACAGTGGCGAAGCTGTTAAAACTTCAACTTTTTTAAGCTGCAGGTAGGGGTCCTTTTCGAGCAACTTAAATTGTGCGTTTTTCTGTATTTCGTATTTTATTGCAAATTTCTTTCAAAACTTTTCGAAATTTTCAAAAAGGTTATTCAGAGCATTCACTGTTCAATTTCACATTAGCCTAAGCAAAAATGACGAAAAAACATCAAACGGTTTTCATTTTACAGCGATTTTACTATACCATTACCTTACTGTCTCAAATAGCCCCACTGTCTCAAATAGCCCCACTTTACGGTACTAAATTCCAAATGTTTTGAAATGTTTGGAGGCTTATCAGGCCCTTATTTTGTTTCATCTTACGATACAAGGCTGCTACAGTACAAGGTCAAGGTCACGAAAGTGTCCTTTCTAGAGGCTATTTCACTGACTTAAGTTATTCATAATAATTAAGACAACTTTGCCATTCCGAGGCTCTAAATGCACACTTCGAGAAAAATAGATACCAGTTTCGTGATCAGCCGCTACGAATCTACATATAGGTACGGCCTCTCATGTGGCAAAGCCCAGAAAAGGTCATTCGAGGCCAATCTCAGTTGATGCATCCAAAATCTTTATCTAGGCCCTTTCCGCTTAACAGAGCTGTCTCCCCATAAAGGGCCACTATGGACAACGGCACAATACTTTAACAGCGTCATCTCTTTGTAGACAGCTGGGGCTGAAAAATCCCGCCGGTACGACAGCCGGTACGTTGTGAAGCGCCATAGACAACACAAGAAAACGGAGGCAGCGGCGACGGCGTCGTCGGTCGCGCGGTAGCCGGGGACCGGCGTGGCCTTGGCCGCTGCCGGAGTAGGAACTGGCTGACTGGGACGGGGGACGTCACATCTGGGCCGTAACTGGGGCGAGTTCCATGACCACCGGACCCAAAGGCTTGGTAGGATCGTTGATAATTGGTACATACTACTGAAGCAAAGAAATTTTGAAGGCCAATTTCTTTCTCTTCAATTCTAACCTCATTTTCAAAATTATTTTTGTGCCTACGAAGGCGATAAGAAAATGGCGAATAAAATTGTGGCACATACTGTTTCAAGATGACTTGTGAGAAATTGGTGACAGCTAGACATCGCGTATAGGTGACAGCTTTTCAGCTTTTTCACCTCTGCCGGTAGCTCTCGTCAATATTTGCCGGTGGGGGGGGGGGGGGGGCGAAAAACGCCCCCCCCCCCCACCGGGCCCGCGAGGGTTAATGACAATGATGTCTAGTTAATCAGATGTACTTCTTTGGGATAATCGCGAGGGATAAGGCATTAAAACACACTCCTTCTGGCTTCTGCGTTAAAAATTTGGCATAATGCTGTGTGCCATAATGGCATGATGTCTAGTTTATCATATTGCACTTTTTGTCGAGACAAAGTAAATTATTAATTTCGTGACGCATTACTCATAGACTGCCCAGGCAATGCAGTGGTCAAAAATTGTATGTGACATATGTACATTGTACATACAATACATACATACAAGCCTTCGCTTATTGCTGCTACACATAGTCGTGGATCAAGGGCTTCATCTTGATGGACAGTCGTGGATATCGCGTGTCTTTGTGCTGTGATTTTTAGTGCATTCCTTCTGTCGAGCTATTTTCGGTCTTGTAGAACTATCTTTTCTTGCAGTGGGACTGGGGCTTTATAAAGCCGTTACGATAGAGCGAGTTTAAAACTGGCTACTGGCTAGGTTATCCCGCGCCCTGCTGGGGGGGGGGGGGGTGTTTGAACACCCCCCTTGTGGTTTTTCGCGAATACGCCGCCGTTTTTGGTATACCTTATCGTACATCAATTCTACACATGTTGTGAAAATTTCAGACCAAGGTCATTCAAGGTCAGGTCACCAGGTCACTTGAAGTGACCTCACCTCATCAAAAGTTTCAATGTCTGTCATAGCTACACTGAGTGACCGATCGCTTTGAAACTTTCAGCGATTGCTAAGAGCAATAGCATGTACAAAATGTATATCTCAGAATTTTGATATCGATGACCTAAGGTCAGGTCAATTTTGCGACCTCCCCATTATAAGTCAATGGGAGAAAATTGAAATGCGCCTCTTTTGGACAAAAGACATTATAAACACTCCCAAACACCGAATTACAAGTGGTTTAGACACACTGAACATGAAAATGGTGTCCGTGACCCTTGTTTATGCCCTGAGGTCATCTTAGGTCACGAATGGTATCTAACAGTTTTTCGCAAATAACTTTTGATAGAGGCATGCTACAGCGATGAAAACGCCTTAGATGTGTTCAGCTCGACGATACGGATCGACTGATATGCAACATGACCCTTTCCGGTCAGGTCATGACCTTGACCTGAGGTCAAATTTTCAAGTTGACCTTTCAAGGTCAAATTATAGTTCATTCGATGCGTCTTGACGAGAGGAACACAATGCCGGTAAAAGTAAGCTCGTACAAGGCTTGGGTCAAAAGTTATTGCAGAAAAACTGTTTCCGAAAAAATGGCTTTTTTGCAGTTTTTGCCCCCTGCAGGCAAAACCGTTGACGTTAGGTCAAATCTGAGAGAATTACTCAGAAAGCGCTTTAATAGGGCTATCGAATGCGCTTTTCCGCGGCGCTGTAGCTCTATTGGTTCTCGAGTTATGCTTTGGCTTCTTGGAAATTTTCGACATTCGACCTGAAAATCGGCGAAATTTTGCCTTCAATGACCTCTAGTGACCTGACCTTTGACCTGACCAAAAAATTGACCGAAGTGATTTCGTCATTATTTTTGACGCTCTTTCGAACGCCGCCTTCCGCGTATCGCTACGTGGCCCACGAGCCGAGTTACAAGGGGGGGGGGTGTTCAAACACCCCCCCCCCCCCCAGCAGGGCGTGGAAATCCAGGACCCCCAGCCGGGCGCGGGTTATATAAGCACTACGTCCGTTGGCACATATGAAGCTGAAATACCAGCCAGTTAAATGTACTCTCACATGTAATAGCTTTTCGTCTTGTCTATCCAGTTATGTAACAATAGTTCACCAATCAGGTTTATAGCGAGTAACGACTACTAACGAATTTGTCAGCACTTACGCATCGAATAGCTAACAGACAAACATCTCAATTATGAAAACCTCTCCCTAGTATAAACGTTTTGTTTCCATCCTTCTTATGTAGATTCACTATCTCGCGAGTATGTAGCGAAAACAGGAACACGAGAACAGTCAAAAGCTAGTCCAAATCGTCCAAATGTGTTATGCATGAACATCTTTTAGGAGTCTGCTGCATGCATCTTTTCTAGAGAAAGATCGACGGTCGCCGCTCAATCAGGAAGATAACCAAATATAACTTAGTGACGAGTGTAGGTATAAGTGTTTGAAAAACGAGTCTGAAAAGTGAATAGGATGTGACAACTGACAACTGACATGCTTGCTTTAATTTATCAGCCATCAGCCGTTCTTTTTTAAACCATGTGCCTGTTTTAAACCATACAGCGCGGTGGTAAGACCCAGCACCAGCTCGCTGATGACCTCTCTCGTCTGGCCTCGTTACCATCTGAGCACCATGGGTGCAGGAAAGTCAGCATTGCTCGTGCAACAGCGGATCAGGTCTATTGCTGAGCGGTGGCGGAAATTACAACGAAGTACCGACCGACCGCAGGCCGGCTTATCTCCTACTTATCTCAGAGAGTTAGCCGTGACCTTGAGTCGTTAGACGTTAATTTACATCACGATTTTTTGTCAGAGTAAGCATTGGCAATTATCGTATAGTGCCTCAACTGATTCTGCGTGTCTCTGGCGAACTGGAGGACCGTTTGACCCTGACCTGTCTCTCGTAGTGTTTCCCTGTTCTGTAATCTGCATCCTCTGGATCAGAGCTGGTTTTCCTCAGCTGTTGGTCGACTGTTCTGCTGTTATAAGGCGGGTTTGCACTCCGTTTGCTCAGACCGTGGTCACTGCCGCCCGCCGCCCGCCGTTCGCTGCTCTCTCGACAGCCCGTGAGTATACCGGTCCGGCAAGTTTGGGATGACTTCAGGCATAAGAAAAGGCGTGTGCAAATGACGTTATATCAGCTGAAAATGGAATAAAGTGGCGATGAATATCTTAAAAAAGTGTCGAGATTTCAAGATTCCTGAAGATCAGTGTGGGCAAGATCTGATTTGTGTGCCGGAAGACAAGTGTGAAAAATGACCGAGTGACGAATGTGTGAAACGACAACGCGAGATTTCACATCAAGAATGCGTAAAAAATAAAAATTGTGCTTCTTACCGGATTCGTGGAAGCTTACATCCTGGTGGCAGCTCCTACTCCGTCGGATTTGGGAGAATTCTCGGAAGATATGGTCACTGGCCCGCTGCGCCTTCCTTGTTAGAAGATCGTCTGCTATCAGGGGAGACGTCAGACAGGCCGGTCTTAGCCGCACAAATCTCAGTGCACAAATGTGTCTAAGTAAGCGGCACAGAGTTTCATTTTAGCCCCGCCGAACTGAGCTATAGGGAGTGTCAGTCCGGCAGAGCTATCAACATGGAGTGATATCCTGAAGAAAAAGTCAGCATGAAGCGGCAGCGTGGTCCGATCAAACTACAGTGAACGTCAGTACAGACAGACAATCGGAGAAACAAAGAGCGACAGCGCATTCGACCTTACTAATTGGAGAACGATAGTGTGAGCCAACTTATCAACTTGTTGGCAATGGACTATAAACCGTCTACCCAGCAACTTCGCTAATGTCTACTGTCTGGACCGTTGAAAAGAAAATGATAAAACTTGCGTGAGAAAATGACATTTTTATTGAAAATGGAGCCCTGATGATGGGCTGCTGTTTGTTGTGCTTCGTTCTGCAGCCCTGCAAATTTTGAGGCGAGTTAAATTTTTTGAATACCCAAATGGTAAAACCTGGACTTAACAAGATAATAATAAATATTAATAGTATTATATAGGTAGGTACTAAGAATATTGGATGTTAAGTTAATCACCGAAATTTTCTTTCTGTTCACAGGCCTCAAATTAACCATGAAGTCGACCCTGGTACTGCTGACGCTGGTGGCAATGGCTGTGGCCAGACCTCAGTTCGGTAATTTCGGCAATAACTTCGGCAGCAACTTCGGCGGCTTCGGCAGGGTAAGAACCTTCAGCTCGGCTAGGTGACATCGCTTCGTTTTTCCTTGCTAGTTGAATAAAGGGCGGTGACGGGCATCATGCAGATGCTTTTGTGACAGTAACCTTTTCTGCGTGCATTTTATTTATTTATTCATTTATTTTTCTTTTATTTATGTACTTATTTATCAAATTAATGCCGTCTGTATTGGGCTCATGCAGCGGCTATTGACTGCAAGTGGCGTCTGTTAGTTTATAAAAAGTAAATCTGGTCGCCTACTGACTATTTGCCACCCGTATTTATCTATATCATGCATGCGACGTAACCCCACATTTGTCTGCCAGCAGCAACAGGGCGGAGCTCAGAGCCAGGTATCCGGCCTGAATTTCGGCAACCAGGGAGACCTCTCACTGACCGGTGGTCAGGCTCTGGCCAGTTCAAATCAGGTACGTAAGAAGGTGTTGCAAGCTTGATTCATGAATTGAAAATGAATTAGGACGTTGGCTCCGACCACATTCTCGATACATATTTTCTTAGAACATGAGATGTTGTTGGCCCCTATATTGGTGCAACCTTACCGGATCTTGACCCGACTCTGAGCTTAACCCGACCTTGAAACTTGATATGATATATGACATTTACTTTATCTTACCTTAATCTGAGCATAAATATAATAATACAAGCTATATCGAGCGTTCCATTCTTTGACTCATGACATAGGAATTCAGAACCATTCGCAGTGGAATATTCGTAACAGCTCAGATTGATAATGAACTTTGCACAGATATGATTTAATAACTTATAATTAGATATCTAAAACGAACAGCTGCATTCCTTTTTTCTGATATTCAACTAAGATATTTCACAAAACTAGGTCATCATCACTGTAAAGTGTGGTAATGGTAGGCAGCAATTTGCCCAACAAAGTACATCTTAGTAGATATTCAACTATTGGGCAGATTATATGTATATGTAAAAAAAAAAACTTTAGAGCGAATTAGGAATATTGTTACCCTAAGTTTTTTTTCTTTTTCACAGGTAGGCTTTAATGGCATCAACGTCGGCTTGGACCAATCGTTTGCCGTCCAGCACAGCTCCCGAGTCCCGGGCATTCCCGGCTTTGGAAGGTTCACCGGATAGACTGAATGCGTCAACAGAGTGGAAGCAGTGCTACTGGGGGTCGCTGCGCATCAGGGCGTCTCTACAGTGAGCCTAGAGTGTTGTCAAAGAAAGCCAAAAAGACGTCACAGATCTTCGACCGTGTGTGTTGTCACGTTGTCCAGTGTGCATTGTCTGTGACAAAATGCCATAGCAGCGTTGCTATGTTTTTACGTGAATCGTGAGCCACGATGTCCAAATCTTCAAGACATAAATGGTATTGCAATGCAATGTGGAATTCAAGCCGGTTGTGTTTACTGTCGACTTCTATTCTTTCTTGCCGATGTCGAAACCTAAAGCTTGACAAGAGTGCCTTTTCACTTGCCGCCAGCGAAACCAATCCATTGCTACACCGCCGTTTGTGTGAGGAACCGTGTTTAAAGTTGTCATATTAATGTCAAGCTAATACAATCGTCCATGACTATGAGGCTTTAGATTGCAGTTTTCAAGTGCCGAGCGGAGCACGCTTCGCCGCATAATAAACTCAGAAGTGGGACGCATTCTAAAAATAATTTTTACAGTTGATTTCATTGTTATAAGACACCTAAGCCACTTACGTTATTTCCTTTGCCCTTTCGTTGAAGCTAGACTGAAAACGGTACCCCCCCCCCCCCCCCACACACACACACAAACAAACCCACGTCAGTCTTTTGCTGTGTCTGTGGGCAAACATCGAAGGCATTTGTGCAAGCTAAATTGCATTCCCATCGCTTCATTCACTGAGGCAAAACTGCCCATTTGGCGAGCCGCCACCAGGGTCTATGTCACGTATGACCTCCAAAGTTCTTCCTTTGATGCAAGTAAGCCGGAGTGTCAACATCGCTCGCCTGTGTCAACTGGATGCCAGGAGCAAATGAAAGGACAGGCCGGGACAGGCTGTTTGCCTGCCCCCGGTTTTGGAGTTGGCTTTTGACGTGATGCAGCATGGTGTGCTGCCAAATGAACGTCGCACCTCCATTACGCTAAATGGGTAAGGCTAGTGAGCAGCTTCGCACTGCCGCTGTCTGGCGACGTTCATGCTGCTTCTGACTTCAGACACCACAGTCTGTCGGATGTGAACAGTCGCTGACATCTTGGCCTTAGCTTGTTCATCTGCGTAAAGAAGATCCGAACTCCGCCTGAGGGCGCTGGTTCAGTATGTGGGACCACTCCCGTCTGCTGAGCAGGGCTCTGCTGCTGATCTCAGTGCTGACGCTCAGCGGTCTGCACAGAGAGTGGGACCAGCAGCCCTCCTGCTGGAGCCTCGGTCTGCTGCTCACCGCCACCGTGTCAGTCGCCTGCGCGGTCAGCACCTCGGCCTTCATCGTCACCGTCGCCACGGTATGGGAGTTTCTGTACAGCCTGACCATGTTTTTCACCCAGCTGCACGCGATGCTAGTACTGGCATACCTCGTCTGCAGACGACGCCAGCTGCTGGACCTGGTGAGACGGATCGCTGACCTGGACCGCGCCACCTCCGCGTGGCGCCGGCCGAACGACCACTGCGAGCTGCAGCGGAAGGCGGCGCTTCTCTGCGCCGTAACGTTCACGGCGATGTTTGTCTGGCTGGGGGTGACCCTCACCAAGGAGCTGACCCACCCCAACTACATCCTATCGGCGCGACTGCCGGATGCGATGCTGACACCCGCCTGGTACCCGGTGGTGATGGTTCTGCAGAGCTTCTTCTGTATGTGCACACTGTCCCTGCAGGTGTTCTTCGAGGTGCTGCTGCTGGGGATGGCGGACTCGGTGACGGCTTTCACGGAGCGACTCGGCACTTTCTGTCAGCGGCAGATCAGCGACCAGCACAGCCCGGAGGGAAGCGTAACCGACTGGAAGGACGAGGGCGGCGACAACAGCGACCCAACGCCTCTCCCAGCCTACGGAGAAAAACTCAATCCGAATACAAACAAACTCACGCTTGTGTTCAACCCTGAGAAGCATTTCAACCATGACATCCAGTCGTCTGAACTCATGGTTCGCAACCTCGGCGAAGGCGAAACCTCGACCAAGCCTGGTGCACCCATCGCCTGGACCATCGGCAGCTCTTCGTCTAATCGCGACCACCTGGCATCCAATATCCCAACCGAATGCCACTTCACGGAGGCTCCTGGTGCGCGTCCGACTACCGTCGGGGACCTGGAAACCCGTCTGGACCTTCTGACGTCCCTGTTTGACTCTGTACGCCGTCTGGCTGACGACAATGCCGAGTTCTGTTCGCTGCCGACTCTCAGTCTGTACAGCTCGGTGGCCGCTGGATTGCTTCTGGGCAGCTACGTCAACATCGTTCTCTACGGCGAAGGCTCGGTGTCCGAAGTGGCCGTCGGATTTAGTGTGTTTGAGGTAAGTGGTGGACGTAGCCCGAGCAGTAACGTCTCAACCCAAGGTTTGAGGTTCAGAGGTTCATCGAATACCCGGGGAATGCTTTATTGTTGCTTCAAATCGTTGATAGCTACTTTTTCCTGTCAGAGACCGTTTCCAACACCCCTCGGTTCGACCAGCTGACGCCGACGGCCCTCGGCTCGTTCTCAGGCGTCCATGGTGCTGCGCCTGCTGATCGTCAGCTGCGCCGGCACCCGGCTGATCCAGCAGGGCCGCCAGCTGCACGACCAGCTGGCAGCTGTCAGCTGGCGCCGCCCGGTCTCGGCGCGCGCGCGCTTCAGCCTTCAGCAGCTGCTGGAGCGGAGCCGTGAGCCGGCCTCGCTGCACGGCTGGGAGCTGCTCACCGTGCAGAAGGACGCCATGCTGTCTCTCTTCGGCTTTGTTCTCACCTACATCGTGATTCTGATTCAGATGCAGGTGCGCTAGCGGGTGATACACGCCGCCGCTGGTATCGAGGTTCGATCGTAGGGACGAGCAATGTTTTGGCACGTGATAGATAGAGAATCCATCTCATTTAGCAAAAAGCTCAGCCCACGTGACGATAAACAGCAGACATCATTCCAAAGGTCGTGAAATGAGCGCATCATATGCACCTACTTTTATGGCTGTTAGATAATTCAGGCAAAATAAATTCTCGAAAAATTGTTGGTAAGCTTTATGATATTTATATCATCGTTCAAGGCGTGCATACATATACCGTTGATAATGCACACCGTTTCACCATTTGACGGCAAACTAAAAGTTTTTGTCCTTTTGCCTCTCTCACGGAGCGGGCCAAATGCATGTCTTTTCCTTTCCTCATGCGGCGGCTCACCAAGGCGATGCCTACAAAACCTCGATGACGGTCCGCCAAAAAGCAAAAGTATGCATAGACTAACTCGTCAAAAGAATTACCTATAGTAAATTGTCATTTGTGCCACCAAACTTTGGAAATGTGGCAGGCCTCGTCATCATGAAGATGGCCAGCGTGGGCGGTAGCGTATTGTGTGTCACCTGGCCCTGCTGGACACATGTTAGTGTATGCGATGTCGTGCACAGCATCGAAGCGCCAAGGCGTAGGCAAATATTTACTTTGGTCATGTGCGGCGTATGCCGACCCATTGCGAAAAGTGCACTGCGCCGCACGTCGTTTGCCTGAGCTTGTCCTGTGCCTCTGCTCTTTGCACTAGAAAATCCATAGAGAGCGACAATGGACAACCGACCTGAAAGTTACTGGGAGGGGGCGGAATTTATTGATTTTAGTTATTCTATTTATTTATTCGATGCCATAGAACAACAGGCGAATTGACGTCCAGTAGCAGTCCATAGCAGTTATACGTTCGGAGCAGTGTAAACGTTGCATTTAGTCTTTCGTCTCTTACATATACAATACCTCGATACTCGTATACCAACCATAACTCTCACACAGTCATACAGTATACATGCATATCACATTAAATACAGTCACGCAGTACACAGGGGCCGTATTCACGTCGATCATTTTCGTAAGAATTTTCTCTTAAGTTTACTTCTTAAGATTTTTTTTTTAATTCAAGTGAACTCTGTCGATAAAAACTTAAGAAGTGTCGATGTGAATACCAAATTATACTTACGAAAGAAAATGGACTTACGAAGTCGACGGGAATACGGTCCCAGGACTCACATGTTTTGTATATGTCGTCTTACTTTAGCCCGAACATCCCGCATTGAGTCGTGAAACAAATCCAAATCTGTTATCTCGAACATATATTCATTTATGATAGTGGGTGCCCTAACAAAAAGCGAACTTTTCATAGTGTCGACTCGCGTAAATGGTACATTCATGACACCACGAGCTCCTTCAATCCTCCTTGCAATTCTAGTGGAGCAGCATACTACATCGGAAACCGTGCCAATAGCCCAGCCAGCAATTCGCTTGGGCTGAACTGTGGCAAACGTCGGGCAGCTTGGGCTTAGCTTGGGTTTGCCCAATTTGATCAAAACCAATGCATTTTTTACTAGGGCTGAGCTGGGGCATGCCGCAGCTATGCCCACGTGCGGATAGCAGTAGCTCAGCCCGACATCTGCCCGCGCATCCAAAACAGGCTTAACTTGGGCGGAGCGCGGGCTGATCAAGCTGGCTGTGTCTTTCGGCTAACTGGAGTAAAGCCGGAGCTTAGCCATACTTGTTCGGCTGTTCGCGCATGCGCAGTTCTGCGCCAATCATGTGCAGTGTTTGTGAGTCTGTGCGCTGTGCGACGAAACGACACACCGGTGTTGGGGCATTTGGTGGTTGATGTTTGGGCGCGTGTGACAGCGCGAAGAAGGGATAGTGCTCACTGCTGTTATCAAGTGGACTGGCATGAAGTTTTACGGTAGGTAAGTGTATTGAATGGTGCGCTTGATCGTATGTAAACGTCATGATTTTGACTGAGTTTCACGCCATCAAACATGAAGCTGAATAGCTGTTCAGCCTGGCGACTTATACCCTCGCTCAGAAAAGCCGCATTCCGTGCCTTTATATCTTTGTGAAATACCAGCACTTCTGAACCAGGAAAATGAAATACTTATTATTACATAGACGTATTGATATAAATGGGAAAGGCAATGGGAACGTGTTGTTTTTATATTAAAATTTTTATATTAAAATTATATTAAACCAATTTTAATATAAAAACAACACGTTCCCATTGCCTTTCCCATTTATATCAAAATGAAATACAAAACACAATTATTTATTTACTTATCACCGAGCACGCTCATTCTCTGTCCGCGTTGAAAATCGAATGATCATTTTATACGGATCAATGAGAAGTGCTTTTACAGTATTAATGCAACAATGAGTTATTTTCAAGCAAACATGCAATGTAAATTAAACCAATTAATTTTTTTCAGGTACGTACCATTAGAGCAAATGGTTAAAAAAAAAATGGAATAGTTATACAAACCAGGACCGGGTGGACGCCGCAGTCGCCCTCGCCAAGTGGTTTAGCGGAAACTGCCTGCTTATAATTAAGTAGGTATTCCTACCTACATACTAGTACATGTGAGTCGACGACACCTTTGTAGGTATAGTCTTCCACAAACATAATATCGTATTGAT